GGTTGTGATAATACCTTCTTCTTAATTAAATAACGTACTGTGTTTGCAAGGGAAGGTGGTCTGACGTCTAGCAAATTTTCATCTTGAATCGTAAGCTGTGTACGTCCCTTGCCGAGACCGATTACATGGAAGAATAACACAATACAGTGATGATGTCCTTATCAAATATTGAAAACGCAACACTCTCCAGTCCCATCTCAGATCCAGACAAGCAATCAGTTTCACTGCTACTGTCTCATTTAGTGTTATCATATCGATATTGACAGGATAAGCAGGCGAGTTCGGGATCAGTTTCTTCGATAGGTGACCTATTTTTGAACGGGGTGGGGAGGGTCCAAATGCGAGAACCTCCGACGGACTAGATTCTAAGTGGGATGTAGCATTCCACCAGAAAGATGGAGTTAGCACTTCATGAAATAGATTTTTCTTACAAAGAAATTGAACTCACATCTTTTGTGTGCAAGGGCGAAAGGCATAACTAACCTACCATTATACTTAAGTGACTCCTGTTACATCAAAGGTCCTGCCTGTACATTACATGTACCTCATTGGCTTCTTGCACTCTTTTTCAGAGTTTGGGGAGTAAAGAAGTAGGCTAAGTAAGATCTACATTTCACAACGTGGCTGATTTTTACGTTTGTGGCAATTTAGTCTACATACATAGAACGTAGAGATTCATATCTTGCTTGGCAGGAAGCCACATGCTGCATTGGAAGATATCCGAAAAATCAGTAGTAAAACTGACAAACAAACAACAATAACAACAAATTGAACCCAAAACAAAACCCCTAAAAATCAAGACAAAAAGCAAAATTCAAAACAAAAGTTTAAAGTAAAAGAATAAAAACTTACGGAAGAGCAGCTTTTCTGTAGCCGTACCACCATGTATCGAGCCACCAAGCCTGTGTGTGATGCAGGAAGGCGGCGAGAACCGCACACATGACCAAAAGTCGCAGGGAGGAGAACATCTCGATGGATCAGTTGACAGTTGAAGGAAATCTTGATGACAAAATGAGACACGTCATAAATAGTAACTCTGAGACAGAAAGACTGTTCTGTTCGTTTTTGTTTTGTTTTATATTTTGCTTTTAAAGAATGTTTTGCAGACACTCATTGTTGCGGTTTACTGCTTACTGCTTACTGATCCCATAATCCTCGACGATCGCAGGGGCGCTGTATGTCAGAAGGCCTCGTCAGGTGCCTCCACTTTTCAACGCCGCTTTTTGCGAGAGTCTGAGTTTGGGCGAAGGATTTCTCTGTCCTCTCCGCAATGTTTTCGGTCCCCCCTTTCTTTGCCTTCCTCTCCTTCTCCTCCCATGCACAGTTCCCCGAAGAATGGTCTTAGATAGGCCACACGATCTTGTTACATGACCAAGCCAACTGCAGTTGCCGTCCTTTAAAAGTATAATTTCATTTTATGTTGAAGTTTGAACAGTACTTTCAGTACTACGACTGTGGTCGTTGACCTTGACCAGTGAAAGGTGGACTCTCTTGGTCTTGATGTTACTGTTACTGTTATTGCCTCTCATTCAAAAGATCCCGGGTTCAAAATCCGGCAGGGAAGGCAAATTTTCTTCTCTAAAAATTTCTCCTTTCACTTCCTTCCCTACCCTCTAACCATATTCTATCGTCTGTTTTCATGTCCTCTTTCTGCCTTTCTGCCCCCCCCCCCCAATCTTTGCCCCTCCTCTGGGCTCCTGACTCTTTCTGCAGTCTTTCTACTGCTACTACTTGGCTCTTTCTTACTGTTGTCTTTCAGTCACACCCCTGATCTTATGGATCTAATAACAAGCCTTTTCGGATAAGGGTGAAATATCTCTGAGGTCCCTCGTGCAAGCAGCGCACGTTAAAGATCCCTTGGTGGCCCTAAAATCAATAAGATTAGGTTTTGGCGGCCATCGGGTAAAATTCTAAGTCCCTACCAAACTGAAAATGTTTCAATGTGTCCCGCGCGCTTATATGACCTAATGCAGTTGCGAGCGCCGTTAAACACTTACCAAAAGAAAAGACCGGTGGAAGTGTGCATTGTTGTGGTTGTTTTAGGATTTTGCTTCTGTGGCTGAGTATTTTTTCAGGAGCGTCATGGCCAATCATTATATACGTGTCGAGACCCCCCTCCCCCCAAAAAAGACAAAGAAAAAAACCTCAACCCCCAAACAAACAAACAAAAAGAATTTTTTTTCTGTTGTTGACGAATAAAACGACAAAATGACCATTGCCATTCCTTGACCTCCTTGACTTGCTGCTGCAGATTCTGGTGGTGATGACAACGAAGATAGCACTGAGATATTATAGATCAATTAGTAACTAATTTGTTCTTGTTGAACAAACATCTGTATTCGTACAATGTGCAGGCAGGGAAGTTCCAATGAAATATCTGCAGCTGGATCAATAACAACAATATAACAACAACAACAAAAACAACAACAACAACAACAAAAACAACAACAACAACAACAACAACAACAACAACAACAACAACAGCAACAACAACAATAACAACAACTGGTTGTATTAGGTACTGCACTCACATGCACAATAACATAGCGTTTACCTTTTCTCAAAACATCCAAAGCGGAGCAATGCACATATCCATCTAACTAACAGACATCAGTACATGTTATTAAAATAGGGGTTTTTGCATTTGGAAGATATTCTTGGCAGAATATTTTCTTTTTAATTAGATAGAGTCCATAAGACATGAGGTTAATACATGTTGATAAAAAACGACGCAGACAGAATGGACACTCGGAAACAGAGGATTAATAGGGTATACAGTTATATAC